GTTGGACGGTGGCAGTGCAGGCTCGGGTGGCTGTTTATAAACGGCCTCCCTGGGAGCGCGCAGCACCGCGATCCGGTGCCCGCTGCGTCCTCCAGATACAGTGGAATACTGATAGTCTGTGCGAGGTCCCGATCAGGTGATCACGGATTGGCCAATCCGTGATCACATGCAGAGTAGTAAGCAAGATGTCACTTCTGACATCATTGCTTACTACGTGTGAAATCTGTGAAATTCACAACAGCCATGTACCATGTGACAAGTTGTGACCAATCACAGCTCACACAGTATTTCTCAATGGCTGCAAGAATGCAGCCAGAGAGAAGGAGAAAAGATTGCTTTTACAGCCTTTATGGTTGTAAAAGCAATCAGTGTAAAAAAAGAAAAACCATCACCCCCCCACAAGTAGTAGTATCAGCATGGTGACACTGTACTGCTAGGGTGACAATACGTAAAAAAAAAAACAAATATAAAAGAAAAAAAAATGTTTAAAATTTTTAATTTTTGGTTATAAACTAATTTGGGTTATTTTGTTTTTACTAAAAAGATAACGGAATAAATTTTGGCCAAGATTTAGGATGAAATATTATTTATTTGCAAAATTTTATAAGAAAAACACTTTTTTTCAAATTTTTTGAACTTTTTCATTTACATAGCAAAAAAAAAATTAAAATCCCAGCGGTGAATAAATAACACCAAAATAAAGCTTTATCTGTCTCAAAAAAAATGCTAAAAAATTCATATTGTCATTCAAAGTGTGATAGCGCTGAAAGCTGAAAATTGGCCTGGACAGGAAGGGGGTAAAAGTGCCCAGACAGGAAGGGGGTAAAAGTGCCCAGACAGGAAGGGGGTAAAAGTGCCCAGACTGGAAGGGGGTAAAAGTGCCCAGACAGGAAGGGGGTAAAAGTGCCCAGACTGGAAGGGGGTAAAAGTGCCCAGACTGGAAGGGGGTAAAAGTGCCCAGACTGGAAGGGGGTAAAAGTGCCCAGACTGGAAGGGGGTAAAAGTGCCCAGACTGGAAGGGGGTAAAAGTGCCCAGACTGGAAGGGGGTAAAAGTGCCCAGACTGGAAGGGGGTAAAAGTGCCCAGACTGGAAGGGGGTAAAAGTGCCCAGACTGGAAGGGGGTAAAAGTGCCCAGACTGGAAGGGGGTAAAAGTGCCCAGACTGGAAGGGGGTAAAAGTGCCCAGACTGGAAGGGGGTAAAAGTGCCCAGACTGGAAGGGGGTAAAAGTGCCCAGACTGGAAGGGGGTAAAAGTGCCCAGACTGGAAGGGGGTAAAAGTGCCCAGACTGGAAGGGGGTAAAAGTGCCCAGACTGGAAGTGGTTAAACACTAAAGTCAAAACTTTTTTTTTTCCCCACTTTGGATAGAGCACAACCCGTCAAGTTTCTTTTTTTTGGTCCCATTGGGAAGACTTCTCTTCACTTCCTGTCCCTTAAACAGGAAGTGAAAGAAAATCTGGTGACAACTCAAAATATGGGATTTTCTTTCACTAATTGGAAACAGGACAGAGAAGGTGAATCTCCCTAACAGGGACAAAGAAGTAAAAAAAAAAAAAAAAAAAAAAACCACTTGACAGGGGTTCTAATTCCTCTCAATTGATCCAAAACTATCCCTCCGCCTCAAAATAAAAGTCCCAAAAAACAAAACCTGAAAAAAACGTATTTTCCCTTACGTTATACATTAAACTGATGCTACAGGTTCCACCAACGGCACGGGGGGGGGGGGGGGGGGGGGGGGGGGGGGTGTCGGTGTGCGCTCTCTCTCTTCAGTGATATGTGAGCCATAGAGGTGAATGCAGGATTATCACCGACATGAAATGTGAATGGTCCGAGCTACAACTGGCAGTGAACGTAGGGAGCCGTTCCATAGACCATACCTGACACCCTCAGCAGGAAACTGCAGTATAAAAATAAATAAATGTAGTCTGCAGTGAGTGAATTGTCCGCCTGCCGCGGCTCCAAAAGGGCCACAACCAGGTGGATGACGCACGTTTCTAAAAAGCGTCTCAGTCGCCTGTTAAAACCAGGCATGGGCGCCGGGCAGAGCCGTACACAGTGCTGAGAATGGGGCCGTCCCAAGGTGGGGGTGACACAGGAAGGCTAGGGTCACACCTCTGCAGGTTGTGTTTGAGCCATTTCTGCATTGCGTTTTGTTTTTCTTGTTGCTAGGCAGATTTAAAAACGCAACAAAAAGCAGAAAACACACACTACATGCTTTTCTGCAGCGTTTACATTGAGGTCTATAGAAACAAAAATGCAACTTTCTGCGTTCAAAAAAGTCCCTGACCCTTTGCAATAAACGCACTGGGTGAAAAAGCACAGGTGTGAACATGTCCCATAGGAAACCATGTTAAATGGATTGTAGTGCGTTTCTGTAAAACTCTGCGGAAACCGCTTAGGTGTGACCCGAGGGTAAAGAGGGATTTCAGTGTGAAAAGCCTTGTTGTCGCACAGGTGTGCGGGAGGCAGCAGTTCACCTGAAGATCACCTGGACCACGGACCAAACGCTGCTGACAACCCGGTCCTCGCGTCAGCACCTAGAACCGTGTGAAAGAGGCCTAATGCCCAGTAGGGCACAGAAGAGAAAATCAGACAAAAAAAAATGCATTTGGAATATTAATCTATTTCAGTGGTCTTCAAACTCTTCCTCCCGCCGCCCCGGGGACGGGGCAACCCTCCCTCCCGCCAGCCCAGGGGCAACCCTTTCTCCCGCCGGCCCCGAGGACGTGGCAACCCTCTCTCCCGCCGGCCCCGGGGCACCCCTCCCTCCCCCGGCCCCGGGGACGGGGCAACCCCTCCCTCCTGCCGACACCGAGGACGGGGCACCCCTCCCCCGGGGAGGGGGCAACCCTCCCTCCCGCCGGACCCGGGGACTGAGGGGGCAACCCTCCCTCCCGCCTATTGATACCAACAATGGGGCCCCGGGGACGGGGCACCCTCCCTCCCACCGCCGACACCGAGGACGGGGCAACCCACCCCGAGGATTGGGCACTATTATTCCTATTGATCAATGGGGCACCCCTCCTCCCACCGGACCAAGGATGGGGCAACCCTTCCTCCCACGGCACCGAGGATGGGGCAAACCCCTCCTCCCACCGCACGATGGGGAACCCCTCCTCCCACCGACACCGAGGATGGGGAACCCCTCCTCCATCGGCACTGAGGATGGGGCAACCCTTCCTCCTACCCACCTATTGATACCAACAATGGGGCACCCCTCCTCCCACCGACGATGGGGAACCCCTCCCTCCCACCGACGATGGGGCACCCCCCCTTCCATCGGCCTGACGATGGGGGGAACCCTTCCTCCTACCGAGGATTGGGCACTATTTATTCCTATTGATACCAAACAATGGGGCACCCCTCCTCCCACCGGCACCAAGGATAGGGCAACCCTTCCTCCCACCAACACCGAGGATGGGGCACCCTTCCTCCCACCAAGGATGGGGCAAACCTTCCTCCCACCAACACCGAGGATTCCACCCATGGACACCAAGGATGGGGCACTATTATTACTATTAATACCAACAATGGGGCACCCCTCCTCCCACCGGCACCGAGGATGGGGCACTATTATTCCTATTAATACCAACAATTGGGCACCTCTGCTCCCACCGGCACCAAGGATGGGGCAAACCTTCCTCCCACCAACACCGAGGATGGGGCACCCTTCCTCCCACCAAGGATGGGGCACTATTATTCCTATTGATACCAACAATGGGGCACTGTTTCTTCCATTCAATCCAATGATGGAGCATTGTTCTACTCCCACTGGTCACAGCCCGCCCCCTATAGTCTGAAGGACAGTAAATTGACCCTTTGCTTAGAAAGTTTGGAGACCCCCGATCTATTCATTCCTATACAAGCTTCTGGCAGCCAATCACAACAGTTCAGACTAACGCTTTCAAAGGGATAGGATTATAAATTCTTCTTGTTAGGTAACAATTAACAATTTTCATGTAATTAACCATTTGACCTCCGGAAGAGTTGCCCCCCCCCCCCTTCTTGACCAGGCCATTTTTTGCGATACCGCGCTGCGTTACTTTAACTGACAACTGCGCGGTCATGCAACGCTGTACATAAAGGATATTTGTCATTTTTTTTTCCCACAACTAGACCTTTCTTTTGGGGGTATTTAATCGCTTCAGCGGTTTTTACATTATTAAAAAAAAAAAAAAATTATAAAAAATATTTTTTTCCCCATTAAAAACATATCCAATAAAATATTTTTTAAAAAAGCAAATGTCTTCATTAATTTAGGCCAAAATGTATTATGCTCAAATTTTTGGTTAAAAAATAAATCCCAATAAGCACATAGTGATTAATTTGCGCAAAAGCGTCTACAAACCATGTGACATATACTGGAATTTGTATTTATTTAATACTAGCAATGGCAGCGAATTATAACGGACCACGATATTGCAACGGACATTTTTACACTGACACTTTGTGGGAACCAGAGACATTAATACTGCGATCAATGCTAAAAATACACACTGACACTGGCTGGGAAGGGGTTAAACATCTAGTGTGATCAAAGGGTTAACTGTGCACCTAGCTATGTGCTCAGTGTACACTAGGTGGTGCTTCAACTAAAGGAAGTGAAGGATTGTACTCCCAGCTTTGTAGGGCCACAAGATCCTTCACCTATCAGAACAGAGCTCTACCTTGTTTACGTAGGCAAAGCTGTCCTGTCCGACGATCGGCAGAAATCCGTTTAGCAGCATTCGCAGATCGACTTCTGCTGTGTATGTACACAGCAGAAGAGATCCGGTGGCGCGTGTGCGCCCCTTATGGAGGAAGTGCAAAAATCACAAATATATACATGATTTTGCACAGGAGGCCCACCCTGTAGCAGTAAAACTGCTTTAGGGCAGACTTTAAGTGGTTAATATCCATATATTAACCACCTCCCATCCGGCCGTTGTATATAAACGGCCAGACTGTGGCAGTGCAGGGTCGGGTGGCCGTTTATAAACGGCCTCCCCGTACCCTGCTTGTGTGATCCGGTGCCCGCTGTGTCCTCCAGACACAGTGGAACACCGTTCATCGTACGGGACCTTTGTGCGAGGTCGCGATCATGTGATCACTGATTGGACAATCAGTGATCACATGCAGAGTAGTAAGCAAGATGTCACTTCTGACATAATCGCTTACCACGTGTGAAATCTGTGAATGATCACAGAGTGGCAGTGCAGGGTCGGGTGGCCATTTATAAATGGCCCCCCGCCCACTGCTTGTGTGCGCTCCTTGGGAGCGTGCAGCACCGCGATCCACTGCGTCCTCCGGACACAGTGGAACACAGTTCATCGTACGGGATCTCTGTGTGATCGATTGGCCAATCAGTGATCACGTGCAGAGTAGTAAGCAAGATGTCACTTCTGAGGACATTGCTTACTACATGTGAAATCTGTGAATGATCATAGAGTCACATGGTACAGGGCTATTCACAACAGCCTTGTACCATGTGACAAGCTGTGACCAATCACAGCTCACATAGTTCTCAATGGCTGCAACCTCAAAGGCTCAATGAATGCAACCAGAGAGGAGAAATGATTCCTCTTACAGCCTTTATGGTGTATAAAAAAAACAAAAACAAATCATCACCCCCCCCCCCCCCCCCCAAGTAGTACAGTGTCACCATGGTGACACTGTACTGCTAGGGTGACAGTATGTGAAAAAAATATATAAAGAAATAAAATTTAAAAAATGTTTAAAAATCATAGTTTTTGGTTATAAAACTAGTTTGGGTTATTTTTTTTAAATAAAATAACGGAATACATTTTGGCCAAGATTTATGAAGAAATATTTATTTGCAAAATTTTGTAAGAAAAACACTTTTCAAACTTTCTGGACTTCTTCATTAACGTAGCAAAAAAAAAAAAAAATCCCAGTGGTGAATACACCAAAGTAAAAGCTTTATCTGTCTCAAGAAAATGCTAAAAAATTCATATGGGTACAGTGTTGCATGACCGCGCAATTGTCATTCAAAGTGTGACAGCACTGAAAGCTGAAAATTGGCCTGGACAGGAAGGGGGTGAAAGTGTCCGGACTAAAAGGGAGGGGGGGGGGGGGGGGGGGGGGAGTGAGTGTCCGGACTGGAAGTGGTTAAACACTAAAGTCAAAACTCCCCCCCCCCACTTTGGATAGAGCACAACCCCTGTCAAGTTTTTTTTTTGCACCTTTGGGAAGACTTTTTTTCACTTCCTGTCCCTTAAACAGGAAGTGAAAGAAAATCTGGTGACAACTAAAAATGTGGATTTTCTTTCACTAACTGGAGACAGGACAGAGAAGGTGAATCTCCCTAAAGGGGGCAAAAAAAAAAAAAAAAAAAAAAAGAAAAAAAAACTTGACAGGGGTTCGAATTCCTCTCAATTGATCCAAAACTATTCCTCCGCCTCAAAATAAAAATCCCAAAAACAAAACCTGAAAAGAAACTTATTTTCCCTTACTTATACAGTAAATTGATGCTAATTGGCCTGGGCAGGAAGGGGGTGAAAGTGTCCGGACTTGAAGGGGTAAAGAAAGATTAAAAAAAAAAAAAAAAATCGAGTGACCAAGTCTGCGCATGATTGCAAACGAAGGAACCATCCACAAGAAGAAAAAGGCAACGAAAAAAAATTACCATCTAAGACATAAAATGTTCTCAAACACAAGCTCATCTGTCGCTCTGCTCTCTCCTCCTACCAGCAAACACACAAATGGATTGGCTTTCTGCGACCCTGTAATAACGATAGATAGCTCCTTGATGCTTTGAACATCGATCGCCCTGGGCGTGGGTACAAGAGGGGTCACATGTACATTACATCACTTCCGACCCCATGCTGAATACAGCTCCGTACGCTGGAAGACATATTCTGTCGTACGAAAATGTTCGCACCTTTAGTAATCTGTCGTTTTTAAAATGTGTTTTTAAACCAGCCGTGTGAATGAGGCCCAAGAATGTATTTCCCGGGGTTACAGCGGAGATGTATAAATGCATTCATATTGTATTTCCTATGCAGGTCATTCCACCCCAGGAAAGGTGTACTTGCCGTAAACTGCGCCGAAGACAGAAGGGTGAGCTGCACCGCCGAACAGATCTCTGTACCGATCAAAGGAGGTTCACCGCTTCCTGCCATGAAATGCGCATTGGTGGCGCGTACAGCCACCCATCCAGGGATTTACACTCGTGCACTTACAGAATAGACTCCCCGGACAGAACAGACCCCCGGACAGAATAGATCCCCGGACAGAATAGATCCCAGCAGTGATTCATTACCATGTGCGGTTGTCTCCCTGGCATGGAGGTACGCCCACCATCTGCGTTGTACGCCTTCCTCTCTTGTGTACCCGCCATCCACTGACAGCAATAGAGAGGACACAAGTTCCAGTGACCCATCTAAGAGGGAAGTCCTCTAACTTCCTGGTGTGGCTATGGGGCAGGAAGTGAAGGGAAGTCTCCCCAACAGGACAGAGAAATATTATATATATATAACACAGGTGTGTAATCCTCCCTCAGTACATTTATATACACTTCACATTGAACTAAACATGTAAGAGGAGCAGCATTCAGAGATCATCATGGAACCATGACGGGTCACATCACTGTACATTACACACACGTGTCCAGAGAAGGGGCTCCACCTGGAACATACACTGACATATGGGGGGAGGGCATGATTCAGGTCATTTGTTACTTCTAACTACATGAATAACAGTGGAGCATTGAGGGGCCTCCAGAACCAGTCAGAGGGCTCTATCCTTTGCTGCTGCTGGAATCCGATTGGTCAGGAAGAACAACTTCCTGTATCCAGGGAAATGACATCCAATTGTATCAAAGCGATGTGAAGACGTTACATTGTAACCAATGAGATCACATGACAGGAAACCACCATACTAACAGCTACAATCCGCACACCCCCCAACCATCATCTCTAGAAGTACCCCCCCATCATCCCAGATAACATCCCACAATACTTCTCCCACTTCACATGACCCCCCTATAATGCCCCAGAGGGACACCAACTATCCAGAACCCCCCCAATCATTAATACCCAGTAACAACCCCCCCCCCCCCTCCACCACAATACCCCAGAATGTTTCCCCTCCACCGCCATTAGTACCACAAAATGCCCCCCTCCCCCGCAATCAACACCCCAGAAAGCCCCCCTCCCCCCACAATCAACACCCCAGAACGTCCCCCCTCCCCCCGCAATCAACACCCCAGAACGCCCCCCCTCCCCCCGCAATCAACACCCCAGAATGTCCCCCCATCTTCCTCCATTAATACCCCCTGCTCCTTAACCATTATTACCAGAGAACACCACCTCCCCACACTACTAATACCCCCCAAAACGCCCCTCCCCCACCTCTAATACTTCCCCTGCCCCCTCCCCCCCAGTAATACTCCAGTATAGCCCTCCTTCAATACCCCGGACTCCTCCCCATCGCATATGACTCCTTAATACCCCATCATGTCAGCCCCTCCCCCCTCTGTAGTTGATACCCCGGAGTGGCCCCTCCCTCCATACTGCCCCGGTGTGGGGGATGGGGAGGGGCCCCACGTGTGCTCGGGATCCCGGGGAAGGCCCGGTAAGAGGACAGACATGAGGCCGGGCCCTTCCCTGGACGTCCGGGGGGCCCCGCCCGCCGGGTCCTTACCTGCGCACTCGGGGAGGCCATGGCGGACACTTTCAATGAGTGAGGCCGATCATGCCGCTTCCCCCGCCGCCGCCATCTTCTCTGCTGCGCGCTCACCGCACCGCGCATGTGCCGGAGCCCGCCCACTGGACCACATGATCCCCACAGGGGGAGGAGGGCGGAGGAGGCGTGGCAGGCAGCAAAGAGCAACAGGATAGGAGAGAGGGCACGTGACACCGTAAGCAGAAGGGGCGTGGCAAAGCGAGGGGAGAGCGCCTCGGACTCCTAGACAGAAAGGGCGTGTCCGGCACGACGAGTAGGGGAGAGAACACGTGACACAGGGTAGAGGCGGCGACAGGGAAGGGAATGGGCGGTGCCATGGGCGTGTGATCCTATAGAAGAAGGGGTGTGTCCCAAACTCTATAACAAGAAAGAGGCGGGGTTACGTCTATAGATGTAGGAACGGAAAAAAAAGCTCCTAGTTACTATGGGGCAGGTGGGGGAGGAATGCTGGGAGGAGGGGAGGCATTCATTCGTTCAATCATTGCTCGTCCAGGGCTCATTCACATTTTTCCTTGAAGCTTGCTTCTGATGTACTTATTGGTTGTCACCAAGACAGGAAGTCACAGACGATTATGTGTGTTTTTATTTTTGTCTTTATATTTCTAGTGTTGTTTTTATCAATTCCGGTAATTTTCTTTTTCTTTTATACAATGAAGGGACCTAGTTAGAAAAAAAAAAATAAGTTCATACAGCCATCACCAACAACTGCCAAAAGGGCACTACTATGTTCATTTCCTATGATCACCAGCTCCATCTAGTCGCCATAATGTGGTATTTTCCTGGAATACATCAATTATGAAAATACAGCTTCTCTGCCTTTTGGCTAAGATCAAGTGTAGTATCTGTTCCTATCAGTGTCCAGTAGGGGCGCTCCACCATCATTCCTACTTTGCGGGGATGATTGGTTGTATACAGGGGCCATTTGGAAACTTGGGCACTGCCCGAGGGCCCGGGGTCAGTAGGGGGCCCCATGAGATGTCCCTGGTACCTTTTTCATAGCCTATTGTAAAAAATGCTAAAACAAGATCACTCTTATTCTGTGTGGAAGTCATTCTGCATCCTCCAGTCATATTCCTCGTGTGTGCCCTGACACGATATGTCACCCGATGTGTCCAGCGGATGACAGCACGTTGTACCGGGCTGGCCCCAGTACCATGTGATTGCAGTGATCACCTGTCACATGTACACAATGGCTTTCATTCATAGCCATTTATTTTGTACTATTGTGATCTCTGTGATTGGTCACAGTGATCACATAGTACAGAGAGGACCAAGCACAGCGTAGACCTTGTGATAGCTGTGGCAAATCACAAGTAGTGCAATTGCAGTGCAGTGCTATCATTTATTTATTTCAGGTACTTATATAGCGCCGTCAATTTACGCAGCACTTTACATATATATTGTACATTCACATCAGTCCCTAACCCTCAAGGGGTGTACAATCTAAGGTCCCTAACTCACATTCATACATACACATACTAGGGCCAATTTAGGCAGGATCCAATTCACCTACCAGCATGTCTTTGAAGTGTGGGAGGAAACCGGAGTACCCGGAGGAAACCCACACAGGCACAGGGAAAATCCTAGTGACACTGTAGTACTCTGGGGCGGTGATCAGGATTTTTCTTTTTTCACTATGATTGCTTATAACAGTGATCATCACTGTTCTAGGCAATCATAGTGCAAAACAAAAAAAAGTTAAAACATTTTATTTTTAATTATATATATATTGGCCCCGCCCTCCGAATCATGTGATTCAGATGTTCCAATCACCTCCATGGCCACAGGTGTATACAATCATCCCCTAGGCATGCAGACGGCTTCTACAAACATTGGTGAAAGAATGGGTCGCTCTCAGGAGCTCAGTGACTCCAAGCGTGGTCCCGTGATAGGTGGTCACCTGTGCAATAAGTCCATCCATGACATTTCCTGGCTACTAAATATTCCACGATCAACTGTGAGTGGGATTATAACAAAGTGGGAGCAACCAGGGGCGCATTTACCACAAGGCAAACAAAGCATTTGCCTAGGGCGGCATTTTTCAGGGGGGCAGTGCTACCCCCCCCGAAAGAAGGGATGGAAGAGGGGACACGCAGCACGGGGACCAGGTGGGATCTGAGAGAGGCTGCGGGCTACTTGATGGTGTATGCAGAGCCCGACTCTTGTTCCTGGGGATATATGGAGCTGTGAAGGTGAGTGTCGTTTTCTCTGGGGGGGGGGGGGGGTTGTCTGTGTATGGGGGGAGGTGGTAGTGGAAAGGCTCTCTTGGGTGTGGGGAGGGGCTGGGGTGTTTTTGGTCAGGCTCTCTTCATGGGGGAGGGGGGTGTTGGTCTGTGTCAGGGTACCTCCGTGGGGGGAGGGGGAGCCAATTTTTTTTTGTGTTGCTTAGGGCAGTACGAAACCTAAATGCACCACTGGGAACAACGGAAACTCAGCCACCAAGTGGTAGGCCACGTCACATGACAGGGCGGGGTCAGCGCATGCTGAAGCGCAGAGTGCGCAGAAGTCACCAACTGTCTGCAGAGTCAATAGGTAAAGACCTCCAAACTTGGTGTGGCCTTCAGATTAGCACAACAACAGTGCGTAGAGAGCTCCATGGAATGGGTTTCCATGGCCGAGCAGCTGCATCCAAGCCTTACATCACCAAGTGCAATGCAAAGCGTCGGATGCCGTGGTGTAAAGCACGCCGCCACTGGACTTTAGAGCAGTGGAGACGTGTTCACTGGAGTGACCAATCATACTTCTCTGGCAATCTGATGGATGTGTCTGGGTTTGGTGGTTGCCAGGAGAATGGTACTTGCCTGACTGCATTGTGCCAAGTGTAAAGTTTGGTGGAGGGGGGATTATGGTGTGGGGTTGTTTCTCAGGGGTTGGGCTTGGCCCCCTAGTTCCAGTGAAGGGAACTCTTAAGGTGACATTTTGGACAATTTCATGCTCCCAACTTTGTGGGAAGAGTCTGGGGATGGCCCCTTCCTGTTCCAACATGACTGCCCACCAGTGCACAAAGCAAGGTCCATAAAGACATGGAGGAGCCAGTTTGGGGTGGAGAAACTTGACTGTCCTGCACAGAGTCCTGATCTCAACCCCATAGAACACCTTTGGGATGAATTAGAACGGAGACTGTGAGCCAGGCCTCCTCCCCCGACATCAGTGCCTGACCTGACAAATGTACTTCTGGAAGAATGGTCCAACCTTCCCATAGACACCCTCCTAAACCTTGTGGACGGCCTTCCCAGAAGAGCTGAAGCTGTTATATCTGCAAAGGGCGGGGCCAACTCAATATTGAACCCTATGGACTAAGACTGGGAGGGGCCATTAAAGGTCATGTGTGTGGAAAGGCCGGCCGCCCAGTACTTTTGACAATATAGTATATATCTATATAGAGAGATATACTGCACCTTGAAAAAGTATTCATACCCCTTGAAATTTTCCACATTTTGTCATGTTACATCAAAAACATCAATGTATTTTATTGGGATTTTATGTGATAGACCAACAAATAGTGGCACATAATTATGAAGTGGAAGAAAAATGATAAATGGTTTTAAAAATTTTGTACAAATAAATAACTGAAAAGTGTGGGTGCATTTATATTTAGCCCCCTGGAGTCAATACTTTGCAGGACCACCTTTCACTGCCAGCAGAGGACAGGGGTCATTGCTGACGGGGCAGAAAACAGGGGTCACTTCTGGCAGGGCAGAGGACAGGGGTCACTGCTGGCAGGGAAGAAAACAGGGGTCACTGCTGGCAGGGCAGAGGACAGGGGTCACTGCTGGCAGGGCAGAGGACAGGGGTCACTGCTGGCGGGGCAGAGGACAGGGGTCACTGCTGGCGGGGCAGAGGACAGGGGTCACTGCTGCTGGACAGGGGTCACTGCTGACATGGCAGAGGACAGGGGTCACTGCTGCGGGGCTCAGGGGGTCATGGCGGGGAGAGGACAGGGGTCACTGCTGGCATGGCAGAGGACAGGGGTCACTGCTGGCAGGGCAGAGGACAGGGGTCACTGCTGGCATGGCAGAGGACAGGGGTCACACTGGCGGGGCAGAGGATAGGGGTCACTGCTGGCGGGGCAGAGGACAGGGGTCACTGCTGGCATGGCAGAGGACAGGGGTCACTGCTGGCATGGAGAGGACAGGGGTCACTGCTGGCGGGGCAGAGGCATGGCAGAGGACAGGGGTCACTGCTGGCAGGGCAGAGGACAGGGGTCACTGCTGGCGGGGCAGAGGTCAGGGGTCACTGCTGGCGGGGCAGAGGACAGGGGTCACTACTGGCGGGGCAGAGGATAGGGGTCACTGCTGGCTGGCAGAGGACAGGGGTCACTGCTGGCAGGGCAGAGGACAGGGGTCACTACTGGCGGGGCAGAGGATAGGGGTCACTGCTGGCGGGGCAGAGGACAGGGGTCACAGGGCAGAGGACAGGGTCACTGCTGGGGGCAGAGACAGGGGTCACTGTTGGGGGGCAGAGGGACAGGGGTCACTGCTGGCGGGGCAGAGGACAGGGGTCACTGCTGGCGGGGCAGAGGACAGGGGTCACTGCTGGCGGGGCAGAGGACAGGGGTCACTGCTGGCGGGGCAGAGGACGGAGCACAATTCCTTCTCCCATCTCTGCACTGCACACAGCCTGGGCACAGGTAGAACAGCTCCTCCTCTATACACAACACATAACTGAGATCCGTATAGTGTGAAACTAGAGCAGTAAAGTATCAGATTCGGGTAGTATATTGGCAGATTAGGGTTGGCTATGGGGGGCCACAACTAAAATCTGTGGGGGCATAGCCCACCCAGCACCCCCTTAGATCGGGCCATGCTATGGGACCTGCAGCGTGTCTGTGCCACATCTCTGCTCCTATAGATCTGATTCCTGGGTGTCCGCTAAGGCATTTGCACATCAAATTGTTTATAAAGAGACCCCAAAGCGTTAGTATCCTTCACCGCTCGCGGCCCTCTGGTAGCATCTTCAGACATTTCAATAAGGGTGTATTTGCAAATGAAAAGAATTGGCATAGCTAAGCATAGTCAAACAAAACTGCATGTACAGCACCTGGGTTCTGTGCAAACTATCCAGCCATCATGAGAACAGAGCAAAGTCGGATGTTCTCTACATGTTTTCTCTGCTGATCAAATGTTCTTCAAATATTACGGGCAATTATAAAGACAGGTTCAATCATGGCATAAAGTGGATTGTGAAAGTACCGCATTATGGCCACTAGAGGAAGCTGGGAGTACATTCATTTTAGTAACAAGAGATACAATGTAACAATTCTGGAGGAAACAGCAAATAAATGGAACCATTTCTACTAAGGGATCCTTACATGTATTTCTGGGTATTAAAGTGGACTTCCCCCCCCCCCCCCAGTAACTTTATCCTGATTACTTTGTGTGCCCTCCTCTTACAGAATTGAATTTTTTTCTTTGGGGGGGGAGGAGCTGTCTTGGGGACCCCTGCCTGTGCTTCATGGTTTCTCACCCAGTCAACAATAATACAGCGCTTGCCGTCTCCTGACATACCCACGTTATGAATCCTGGGGGGGGGGGGGGGGGGGGGGCACAGGGTACTCTACAGCTTTCATCAAAAAGTTGTCCTTGAGCTCCAGTCAGTAACTTTGCCTAGGCTAAGAAGATGTCATCAGTCTGCTGCAGGCAGGAAGGAGCATTTCCTCAATCCCCCCTCCCCCAGTGATGAGTCTGTTTCAGTCAGGAGGAAGCATTTCCTCAATCTCCCTTCCACAGTGATCAGTCTGCTGTAGACATTAGGGAGCATTTCCTCAATCTCCCCTCCCCCAGTGATCAGTCTGATACAGACAAGAGGAAGCATTTCCTCAATCTTCCCTCCCAATGATGAGTGCTGCAGACAGGTGGAAGCATTTCCTCAATCTCCCCTCCCCCAGTGATCAGCCTGCTGCAGACAAGAGGAAGCATTTCCTCAGTCTCCCCTCCCCTAGTGATCAGTCTGCTGCAGACAGGAGGGAGCATTTCCTCAATCTCCCCTCCCCCAGTGATGGGTCTGCTGCAGACAGGTGGAATAATTTCCTCAATCTCCCCTCCCTCAGTGAATAGTCTGCTGCAGACAAGAGGAAGCATTTACTCAGTCTCCCCTCCCATAGTGATCAGTCTGCTGCAGACAGGAGGATGCATTTCCTCAGTCTTCCCTCCCCTAGTGATCAGCCTGCTGCAGGCAGGAGAAGGCATTTTCTCAGTCTCCCCCTCCCTCAGTGATCAGAATGTACATTGTAATTTTTTAGCAAGTCTAAAGGGGAGAGGCAGCAGCAGGGGGCTGATCTGTGTCAGACATCTGTGAACACAGCCAAGAACTGCATAGGCACCAGGATTTACATGATTGTGAGCCGGAATCTCAGACCAGGAAGTAGATGGTGACCCTGGATGATGCCTGAACAAAGATGGTGACATCCTTCTGGAGAAAAAAGCAGATGAAGGCCTTGTCAGGGGGAGTCCTGAGATTTCTGTGAGAGGCAATTAACCAGTGTTAACATGCTTCATTATTTAGCATGATGCATTTGGTAGGATACATTATCTGATGACAGGTCCACTTGAAGGAGAACTGGTGTGTGGCTACCCTAGGATGGTACACTGGTCCTCGGGATGACTGTGTTGTCAGATATCAGAGAAATCAATACGTCCATTGAGGCTTTGGCATGTGACATTGAAATGACAGAGCTGTGGATCAGCACCAGAAAGGGTGGGGCTTAGTCTTGACTTGGGGAGAAGTCAAGCTAGGCATACAGCCTGACCCACAGCAACAGGGAGCTACACGGAAACTCATGTCTTGTGTCCCCATTAGAAGATGTCCTCTCTATTCCTGTTCTGGTGACAACTCAAAGTTTCAGATTTTCAGTGACAGCGGTCAATCAGCGACAGTAGATGATCAGAGGGGTCAGTCTTTCACAGACCGCAATCATTTGTTAATATTTTTTTTAACATGCATTTTTTATATATTCAGTATTTTTCATAATTTATTAATTCATTATTATTATCATTTTACATTAAGGGAATGTGTTTATAAAACATTTGTTGGACGAAAGTCAGGCGCATTCATGCAGGCTGCACAAATTTTGTCCATAATTTCTGTAATAGATGAAAGTGATACTGAAGCTTATTTTAGTTATATTAAAATAAAAAGGTTTATATGTACCAACTCTGCACAGAGTGGTCCCTTACCTCTTCTTTAGGCCCCCCCCCCCCCCCCCCCCCGCCGGTGCTGTCCTCTCTTTCTACATGTGAGTGCCCCCATAGCAAGCCCTGTGCAATGGGTGAACCTGTACGGGTGCAAATCCGAGTTGGGCTGTGTGCATCTATAGACACACACAGCGCGACCCCCACTCCCTCCTCATAGAATAGACTGCTGCCTGTGTCTCCTGTGAGAAGAGGAAGTGAAGGGAGAAGACCTGTAGCTGAGAACAGCGCTGGATCCATCACAGGAGACAGGAAAGTTAGGGGAAGAGCAGGGGTGGACTGACAACTCATGGGGCCCCCGGGCAATAGGGGATCATGGGGCCCCTGTGTCCTCACCCACCCTCAAACCACACCCAAAAAAGCCTATGAAAGGTACTAGGGGCATCTCATGGTGCCCCCTACTGACCCAGGGCTCTCGGGCAGTGCCCGAGTGCCCAAATGGTCAGTCCACCCCTGGGGCAGAGGGTAGAAAAGGTAGCTAAAGGGTTGTCAGATGGGGCTGACAATCATAGGAAATATATTACAATTACAGCCAAAATTCAGGCAGCCTGCATGAATATATGCGCCATTCATCCAATTAGGCTTGGTTCACACCAATGCAATGTTTTTGATACATTTTTCATGCATTTTTTATTGGGGGGGGGGCAGCTTGTTGCTGGGCAGATTAAAATAGGCAAAACGCATAAAAAATGCATCAAAAACGCACTACATGCATTTTCTGCAGGAAATCCATGAAGTCTATTGAACCAAAAATGCACCCTTTTGCAATTAAAAAAGTCCCTGACCCTTCCCAAAAACACAGCAGCTGAAAAATGCATAGATGTGATGGTGTCCCATAGGAAACCATGTTAAGTGCCTGGTCATATAGGTGCCATTTCAGGTGCGAAATCGTACCTGAAATCACATCTAATGAATGTGAATGTCAGTGTCTTAACATGTGCGATTTGCTGCAGTGTGATTTCTAAAGTTGTTCTTGCATTACCTTTTCTGCAGTTTATTGTGATTTCACATACATAGAATATAATGCAAATATCAAGAACTTGTTGAAAATCTTCACAAATTGCAATAAAGTCTTCATAAATCACACTGAAATCGAACACAAATCGCGCAATTTTAAATCAGAGGTGTGACCGGTGACTAAATGGACTGTAGTGCGTTTCTGCAAAAAGCATTAAAGGCGCATTGGTATGAACCAAGCCTTAAGCACCGTACACACCATGAGAATATTGGACAAACGATCGCCCGGTTTCTTTCACCTGCTAGTCTCATATCGAAAGTGAAAAGATACAAAAATTCTCGTACGAAAGAAAAGAATTTCGAAAGTGATGTCATGTATATGTATTGTATTTTCGGACGACTACTGTACTGATTAAATGAAAATCGTACAATCTGGTATCGTACGAGAGAAATTTTCACGCTTGTCCCTTCGGATATTGTCGCACGAATTGTTGTGATCGGCTCTCGAAAGCTGTGTACTAACGATCCGATTATCGGACGATTGGTCCTCGTACGAAAAATTTTGGATGATTTTCTTATAGTGTGTACGGGACATTAGTGTTTTATAAAGAGCCACCTTATCACTACATTGTTACTATCATGATGTGACAGCATACTTGATATAAGGATTACATAGTTCCTAGATTGTAAGCTCCGAGGAGCAGGGCCCTCCTATCCAGGGGCGGACTGACCATTTGGAAACTCGGGCACTGCTCGAGGGCCCGGGGTCAGTAGGGGGCCCCATGGTACCTTTTTCATAGGCTTTTTTGAGTTGGGGCAAGGACACAGGGGCCCCATGATCCCCTATTGCCCGGGGGCCTCATGAGTTGTCAGTCCGCCCCTGCTCCTATCCCTCTTGTATTGAACTGTATTGTTGCTGTATTGTCTCCCGTTATATTGTAAAGCGCTGAGCAAACTGTTGGTGCGATATAAATCCTGTATAATAATAATATATAAATCCTGTATAATAATAATAATATATAAATCCTGTATAATAATAATATATAAATCCTGTATAATAATAATAATATAAATCCTGTATAATAATAATAATAATATATAAATCCTGTATAATAATAATATATAAATCCTGTATATAATAATAATAATAAATCCTGTATAATAATAATATATAAATCCTATATAATATAATAATAATATATAAATCCTGTATAATATAATAATAATAATATATAAATCCTGTATAATATTAATATATAAATCCTGTATAATAATAATAATAATATATAAATCCTGTATAATAATAATAATAATATATAAATCCTATATAATAATATAATAATATATATAAATCCTGTATAATAATAATAATATATAAATCCTGTATAATAATAATAATATATAAATCCTATATAATAATAATATATAAATCCTGTATAATAATAATATATAAATCCTGTTTAATAATAATAATAATAAATAATAATAATAATACTTCTGTACTATTAGATTGGAAGCTCTTATGCGCAGGGCCCTCATAATCCTCTTGTTTTTTATTGTATTGTAACTGTACTGTCTCCCTTTTATATTGTAAAGCGCTGTGCAAACTGTTGGCACTATATTATTTATTATACAGGATTTATATAGAGCCAACAGTTTACTCAGCGCTCTACAACATGAAGTATATAAATCTTGTATAATAATAAAAATACAAATTTTATCAAGTAATTGTCTAAAGTACAGTGCCTTGAAAAAGTCTTCACACCTCTTGAAATTTTCCACATTTTGTCATGTTACAACCAAAAACATAAATGTATTTTATTGGGATTTGATGTGATAGGCCAACACAAAGTGCCACATAACTGTAAAGTGGAAGGAAAATGAGAAATGGTTTTCAACATTTGTGACAAATAAAATTGTGGAAAGTGTGGTGTGCATTTGTATTCAGCCCCCTGGAGTCAATACTTTGTAGGACCCTCTTTCGCTGCAATTCCAGCTGCAAGTCTTTTTGGGGATGTCTCTTTGCACATCTAGAGAGGGACATTTCTGCCCATTCTTCTTTGCAGAATCGCTCAAGCTCTGTCAGATTGGATGGAGAGCGTCTGGGAACAACAATTGTCAAGTCTTGCCACAGATTCTCCATTGGATTTAGGTCTGGACTGTGACTGGGCCATTCTAACACATGAATATGCTTTGATCTAAACCATTCCATTGTATCTCTGGCTGGATGTTTCGGGTCGTTGTCCTGTTGGAAGGTAAACGTCCACCCCAATCTCAAGCCTTTTGCAGACTCTAACAGGTTTTCTTCTAAGATTGCCCTGTATTTGGCTCCATCCATCTTCCCATCAACTCTGACCAGCTTCCCTGTCCCTGCTGAAGAAAAGCATCCCCACATGATGCCGCCACCACCATGTTTCACGGTGGGGATGGTGTGTTCAGGGTGATGTGCAGTGTTAGTTTTCCGCCAGAAATAGTGTTTTGCTTTTAGGCCAAAAAGTAAAATTTTGGTCTCCTCTGACCAGAGCCCCTTCTTCCACATGTTTTCTGTGTCCCCGACATGGCTTCTCGCAAACTACAAACGGGACTTCTGGCTTTCTTTCAACAATGGTTTTCTTCTTGCCACTCTTCCATAAAGGACAGATTTTTGGCGTGCACGACTAATAGTTGTCCTGTGGACAGATTCTCCCCCCTGAGCTGTGGATTTATGAAGCTCCTCCAGAGTTCCCATGGGCCTCTTGGCTGCTTCTCTGATGAATGCTCCACTTGCCCGGCCTGTCAGTTTAGGTGGACGGCCATGTCTTGGTAGGTTGGCAGTTGTGCCATACTCTTTCCATTTTCAGATGGTGGATTAAACAGTGCTGTGTGAGATGTTCAAAGCTTGGGATATTTTTTTTATAACCTAACCCTGCTTTAAACTTCTCCACAACTTTATCCCTGACCTGTCTGGTGTGTTCCTTGGGCTTCATGATGCTGTTTATTCACTAATATTATCTAACAACCCTCTGAGGGCTTCACAGAACAGCTGTATTTATACTGAGATTAAATGACACACAGGTGGACTATATTTACTAATGAGGTGACTTCTGAAGGCAATTGGTTCCACTAGATTTTACTTAGGGGTATGAGAGAAAAGGGGGCTGAATACAAATGAACATCATGTTTTTTCAGATATTTATTTGAAAAAAAATGTGAAAACCATTTAACATTTTCCTTCCACTTCACAATGATATGCCACTTTGTGTTGATCTATCACATCAAATCCCAATAAAATACATTGCCGTTTTTGGTTGTAACAAGGCAAAATGTGGAAAATTTCAAGAGGTATGAATACTTTTTCAAGGCACTATATATCTATAGATATAGAAAGGTTAAAAATTACTTCTTTTTTTTTTGTTTTTTGCTATAAGTGTTCTGTTATTGAGATTTCCCTTCACTAAACAGGAAATAAGAGAATATCCTTTCAATTTGAAGGGAAATCTCATCTTAGACATTTGTTACCAGACCAGAACTACTGTAGTGTCCCCAGTTCCTCAATGGAAGATTTCCCCTCTATTTCTCTATTTCAAAAGTTCCTGGTGAACTTGATGATCAGGATAATGAGTGTGAATCTCTGTAAAAATGGAGGATGCAGAACCCCTGATCTCTCTGGACAGTGCTGAATCACAACTCCCAAGAAACCTCTCTAGCAATAAACGCCAAACTGAGCATGTGCAGAGTGTCTCCACACGATATGTCTTATCAGGATATAAGAGGGGGACACATGAAGAAGGGGAGGATCAGAGAAGACAGGATCAAACCGCATTTTTACACAATGCAGGTGATTAACCCCTTAGGTCCCACAGTGAGTATAACAAGCATGCTTTACTGACTGATTTTACTGTTGTGAGTTTAGTAACCCTTTAAAGATAACCCATCCCAAACTACCTCACCGACCTGATATCCAAATACCACCCAACATGTACTCTTCGCTCCTCACAAGACCTCCTACTCTCTAGCTCCCTGGTCTCCTCCTCCTATGCCGACTCCAGGACTTCTCCAGGTCTTCCCCCATTCTCTGGAACTCACTACCCCAATCCATCAGACTGTCACCTTCCCTCCTCACCTTTAGGCGCACCCTGAAAACCCATCTCTTCAGGGAAGCCTACCCCGCCCTTACCTAACAGCCGATCTCCTCCACTCCTCCTACCAATCCATCCCCCACAGCCATTTCCTCCTGTACCACTATCCCCTCCCTCCTAGATTGTAAGCTCCAAGGAGCAGGGCACTCAAACTCGTGTATTGTATTGTTACTGTATTGTCTCATGTACTGTCTCCCACTATAATGTACAGCACTGAGCAAACTTTTTGGCGCTATATAAATACTGTATAATAAAATTAATCCAGCAATTATTATTATTATTATTACATCGAGTTTATATATAAAGACAATCCTCATGCATTCCATCCAAGATACACTCTAGCCACTATTATTACCTTACTTGGCCCCATTCAAGGCCAGGGCATAGTCTCAATATAACACATACAGATCAGAAGATTTCACGGTAACATAGAAGTCTAAAAAAACTTTATTAAAGAGCCGAGTTTTTTTTTTAACAAGCCATAACATCATATTTTTGGGTTTGCGATGAAGGCAATGACATATAAAAACATTCACAGTATATTACTAGAGGGCTTCCGGATGGTTCTGTAATTAAGTGACCCCTGTCTCAAACTCAAAAAACCCCAAAAAACTAAAACTGACACCACCCTGTAAAATATTATGGGTAGTTCTTACCTTTAGGGGGAATTTCTGAATCTTTGTAAAAAAATAAAGTGTTGCGCTATATAGTGGCTAATTCAAATGAATCAAGTAATAAAATCATATAAAATTCACAAAAATTAACTAATACTGAAAATAATGACCAAAATAAATAATAAAAAGTGAGTCCAAAACCAAAAAGTCCACAATAAGTGAGTTGAAGTATATCAGGAGTCCGTATTCCTCTCCATTCACCAACACCAATGTCACCCACCACCATAATTCAGTAAGATGAGGGCTTACCAGATAAGATGACCCCCTTACTCAGAGTGGCCAAAAATGCTTTGTGTACTCCACCTTGATATTAGCTCTCCATATCAATCCCAGTAATGATCATTAATATCGCTCATCAGATGTATGGTATATACCTCAGTAGATGGCGTATACACGCAAAGCAAGCAAACTGAACACCCTCAAAGTGTAAAACCAATTTAAAAACATTTAAAAAAGGATAAAATTGCACTTACAAATGACTAGTATATGCATGCAACTGAATATCCATGCCGGCATGGATAACAGCAAAACTTCCAGTTTTCGTGCGTGATGACGTCGCAGAGTCTCCCGCTTGACTTCATCACGTACGAAAACCGTGACTTTTTGGTTCTCACTTTTTCACTATTTATTTTAGTGATTAGTTCATTTTTGTGTATTTTGTATGATTTTATTGCTTGATTCATTTGAATTAGCACAACACTTTATTTTTACAAAGATTCAGAAACTCCCCTAAAGGTAATATTTCATATTCGAGGGGAATTTTATGTTTGCCGCTGCATTTATTTATTTTTTTGTGCAAAATTTGCGCGCTTTCCATTCCTGGTTTCTGAATCTTTGATCTCTCGAAGAGCTCTGGGTGCAACTACTGACGCCTCCTGGTTTGTCGCATAGAGCGCCCCCTGGATGCTGTGATTCCTCCCACCAATCCCTACACCACTCAGTGGCAGAAGCCACAGTATCAGTGAGTAGCACACTTTGGAAGTGGAAGTGCTGGATAGTGGCAATCAGTAGTTGGGTGCATGACGTAGTATGGACTTACAGCCCATTTTGTTTGGCATGGGGTCTGCACTGCATACACATGGCCGATTGCTTGCTTTCTAACAGCTGGGAGGTGGTTGAGCATGCACATGGAGTTTTTAGTTTTCGAGGAAGAAAGGGGGCGTGTTGGAGCACCCCATGACACCTG